ATGCCAATTTTGTGTGTTCCGCAGTTGGCTTGTAAAAATATAATAAAAAAGCTTTTACAAACGGACAACAATTTTTTTTAAATATTTGAACAAAAAACCCGTGTGAAAAAAATTATTCTTTTTTTCTTTCGTTATCACACTACAACGTGATCAATACGAGACAATGTTCAATGATTTATAATTGTTTAAAATTATCTTGTTCTTTTCTTTTTCTTTTTTTTGTAAAAAGATTGAAGAATATTTTAGATTTCTTTTCTTTTTTTTTTTTTTTGTTATGTGCAGAAGGATTTAAAAGATAAATTCTTTTGTAGAATCTTCAATGGTGGAGTGCTCTCCATAAGGCTCACAATTTATTCGAATCCTCTCTCCATGGCATCCACACGAGAGCAGATTTCCGTTTTCCAATAAAATCTCGGTTCATGTAGTGCCGGTAAATAGCGTTCCACGTCTTATATGCTTCAAGACTATAAACCAAATCAAATTCACTTCTCTTGTGGTTGAGAATAAAAGTAACATAAAGGGATGGATGATAAAAAGATTTGAGTGATATGAAATTGCATTTAAAGGGAAAATGTTATTATAAATGTAAATGTAAAAGCCCAAAAGTAAAAATCATTCAATGTTATTACTGCGACACTATTGTGTCTGCTTGCGGTATTTGTGTCCAAGTTTTAAGAATTCGAACAGCAGTAGCACATTTTCAAAAGGAAAACTGAAGAATGTCAGTTAACAAAAGCCATAACTGTAACAATGAACGTTTCAGGATAAGTCCTACTGACATACTTTCTTTAGCCAGAAAAGCCAATTATCTATGGAAGGATTTTCTTCCAAGATTCATAGTCCTTTTTTTTTTTTCTTGGAAAAAACCAAGAATAGCATTGTTCGAGTCGGTGATCCAGAGGAATCCGTCGTAAGGTTTGCTTCAGCTTTGTAACATCCTTAGCTTTTTTAAAGGCTAAGGAAAAAAGAGAGAGGACTACTAAAGATTTACGAGTATTGTTAAACTATATAAAATGTTGTTTCACATATGGGTGTGTTTGTGTGTGTGTGTGTGTTAGGACAACAACTTAAACGGTTTAATACGCCTTAGGTTTAACCAAAAAAATTCCATTTTAAAAGAAACAATCCATTGAAAACCTACGCGGTCAAAATGTTAAATAGCAAAATAATAGAAAGAGACCTTTTGCGTAGAAGTTGAGCGTGTTCGGTGCATCATGAAATCTCTTCACCGTTAAGACACAGTCTTCTTCCAACCGATTTCTCTCCTGCCATGTCTTTATAGCTTAAGCGTGACCCGTTCAAGAAAGGTTCCTTTGCGATGAAAGAATGGAGATAGCCGTTGAGATTTGCAATAAAAAAAGAAGAAAAATAAAAAAAAAAAATTAACGACGTTAGGACGACACAGTGACCCAATGAACTTTACTAGGGATGACAACATTTTCTTACCATCTTTAATCGTCAAAGATTTATGATGGAACATAAAACAATTGAGAAAGGTTATATATCTTTAGAAAGAAAAATCAAAATTATTGTTCTCGCAAGTGTTTTTTAAATCTTGTGCTGATTAATTTTCATAACTCCATAATCGATTCACTTTAATTCAAATCACTCGTTGCATTTTGATAAATCGATAATAATGAAAAATTAACGAAGTGAAATAAGGAAATAACGTAAGTATAGCTAAAATCAGGAAATAGTAATTAAAAATAATCAACAACGTGTAATCCCTTTTTTTTTTTCGTTTTTATTTTTCATTTCTTTTCTTTTCTTTTCTTTTTAGCAATCGTTACTACTAACGTAGGAAAATTACTACGGACGAAGTTGAAAGGCGTTAAATTTGGCGAAAGAGCAAAATTTCTCAAGCACCTACGCTGCTGTCGGTTTCTGTCGTTAATGAGGCTGTCGGTTGATGAAACCTACGTCATGGCGTAGCCGCAAAGTGGTCCGACGTTGGCGAATTTGCGGTCGGTCATAGAACTCACACACATACACACACACGCATACACATACTCTCTCATTCTCTCTCTCTCTCTCTCTTTCTCTCTCACTCATTCTTGCTCTTTGTCATGCCGTAACACGAGTACTACGATTACGATAAACCAGCATCGCTTTGCTACCTTTGCTACTAACTTCCGTTTTCTCTTCCCTTATTTCACCCCCAACCCACATCACCTTTCACCCTCTCATGCAACCTCTTTCTCTCCGTTCGACGTGTTCTCGCCTACGGTTGGTAAGATAAACGTATACCTACGAGAGACACCCTCACCCTCCCCCACACCCTATTCGAGACTTAAATTAAATCCGGCTAATGTAACCGACGGGTATATTAGATCTCTTGTCTGTGGCCTTGAAAGAGAGACTGAGAGATCTGTAGTTTCCTTTAACATTTGCTACGAGTCCATAGGTGTTTCACATCAATGAGAAGGAAAAAGAAAGGAAATGAAAAGGATAGACAAAGGGAAAAGGGCAAAGAGACGATGAAGGAAGAAATCGAGTATTAAGACGAAGATATGAAGGATGAAAAGATCGTAGTAGTAGTAGTAGTACCATTTGAGAAGTTCCGAAGGGTGTACTCTAGCGTACCTTTACGTGTACTTTACCATAAGAAACTTGTCTTTACTTTCATGTTACTTTATTCTTACATATATTCATCGATTTTTCTTTTCTATATAAAGAACGTTTTTTTTATATATATCTAAATTCTCAATACTTTTACAAATAGTTTTTAAAAAAATAATATAATATTGAAGTCGAATAAATCAAATATATTGATCTATGAGTATTGTTATAATTCGGTAATTTAATTGTTTCGAGATCACATCGCTGAAAATGAATCTAATGAAATGTACCTATAGATTTTCAAAAGAAAAATTACATTACTAATGGTACAAATATTTGTTTGAAATAGTGTTATCCAGTCATGGTTCAATATTAATCGAGTTCTTTTTAACCACGATTTATCATTATACCGTTGAAAGGAAGAGAAGAAGGAACGTTGGTAAGTAGCGAAAATCGTGAGATATCGTGGCTCGTCACTTCGAAGCATCGAATCGTTCGATCCCGTCGAGCTGCTGCTATATACCATCCACATTCGGATTAATGTTTATGGCACCCAGGGTACGTACACCAAGATATCCCTACGTGCCTAGGGGATACGACAAGCTGATAAATATTAAGAACCAATGGGCTGTCATTTCTCTCCATTGACTTCACACTTGGCCGATATTTATCGTCACACTTCGACACTATACTGTTAAAAACTGAGAGTCCAAACTTTTTTTTGCCAGTGTTATTACTTGGATTACAAAATTCGAACGAAATGGAATTTTTCGTTTGCGCGACACGGTAATATAATTAACTTTGATATCGTTTTGTTCGAGAATTCGGCGAATCGTGAATTAAAATTACACAAAAATTGCATATAACTGGAGGGTGGAAAAAGAAAAAAGAAAAAAAAAACAAACACTTCGCGTTGGGTCTGATGGAAATAGAAGAGACGAGAAGTATAGATACTAAATTAATTGGATTAAAAAGAATATCTGATTACATACGGTCCGCTGGAAAAGTAGTCAAAGAATTTTTGAAATAATTTTCATATAAAACTACATCGTTATTTGCTTGGATGAGTTTATTAATTTTCTAATGATGAAACTTTCGAATGAATATAATATGTATTTTATACGTAACATTTCTATTTGATTGGTTTCGATTAATTTCTTTATTTTTAATATGTTGTATTAATTTTTAAAGAAATTCTAAAAATTCTTATAATTTAATTTCCATAAATAAATAAATTCCAGATCACGGTTGAACAAATATTGTGTGAAAATTTCCAAAAATTTATGTTCGTCGTTTATCAAATTTTTTACAAGTACCCCAAAAATATATTCTAATTATAAATATATAAATATATATATATATATGTAAATCGATAGCTCTCATAAAAGTTTAATTAATTATCTCGAAGTTATTGAGAAATATTTTGGAGTAAAAATATTATTAGCGCGAGGGGTTATGAATTTACCAAAAAAGAAAAAAAAAAAAAGAATAATAATTTGCATAACCTCAGAACGCGTTCTCAAAATTCGAAAGAACGAAAGAAGCTGGGAGAGGAGGTTCGTCTCGTGCCAGCGGTCGCTTAATTAAGCGGGCGCGCGTATACGCTCTCCTGGGGTGGAAAAAAGATCAATAAAATCCCTAGTCTACGGGCGACCGCATTCATCGGCCACCCCATTTCTACAACATATTTTGCAACCTCACCCCATTTCGGGCCATGTTTCACCCTCGTCCCCTCTATCTCCTATATTCCCTTTCTACGTTCTGTGCCCACGTGCTCACTTCCACCCTTCTCCTTCTCTTCGACGGACAGTTGGAGAAACGTTGAGTAGGAGGGATGATGCTGGGCGAGTGTCGTTCACCGACGCCAGAAAAAGATATAAAATAAAGACAAAAAAACACAGAAAAGAGAGAGAGAGAGAAAGAGAGGGGGAGGGTGAAAAACAAAAGTTTATTAATCCGTATTAAATAAAATTCGTAATGACGAATTAAATAATAATAATAATAATAATAAAAATGGTATATTAAAGTTAATCATACAGACTTTTATAGTTATAGAAATTATAAAAATACGTGAAAAAAATTAAAGCTTATAAAAGTAACCAGAGATTATCCATAAAAGTGCATTAAATATTGTAAATTCATATTGTTTATAAAAAATGAACGAAAAATAAAATCAAATAAAAAATGTTCAGATAATGTTTATTTTTTAAATGCAATTTTTTTTTTAAATATAAGTAAATTAGTGGTATTTTAGTTCGCGTGTATGCGTGTGTTAAAGGGAGAAAGAGAGAAAGAGAGAGAAAGAGAGGGTCTCGTGCCAGAGAGTGAGGTTTACTCCCCTCTTCTACTGGCTTTATCCCTACTCCTGGTGGCACGAGTCTCTCCTCCGAGGTCGCTTCGACCAACCGGAGATTCTCGACGGACTGTCAGTTAGTGCCGTGGCGCCGTGACGGTACGGTAACCTTTTTTGCGTGTCATTTATCGAAGTATTTCTTCCAACCTTCGAAATAATTTTCGATCTCGCGTGCCCGTCGCACTAAAAAGAAAAATAAAAATAAAAAATAAAAAAATAACAAATTTTCAGGAAAACAACATTCGGTGGGCTAAGGGACAACAGTTTTGGACGTGAATAAAATAATTTTTTTTTATGCAAAAAAAAAAAACAAACAAACAAACATCAAAGCAAGATTATATATTTAAGCTGTGATTTATTTTTCTACGAATATTTGCGAGTTAACTTATGGAGAAAAAGTTAGTATTGTGTAGTTAATATTTTTAAAAAGAAAAAGAAAAAGAAAAAGAAAAAGCAAAAAAAAAAAAACAAAAATAAACTTCGTTAACAGTGTATAAGAAAATAATTGTTGTGATTAGGATAAAGTGTTTACTTATTCATTTTTGCAACAAGTGAATTTTATATTTAAAAATAAAAATACATCGAACGATTAAATAAAGAAAAAAGGGGAGATAGGAAAACATATAATAAACAAATAAAAAAACGGTCGTGTGATATCCGATGATCTACAAGTTCGTGATCTATCCGTGTGTGTTACGCGTGCATTTGCTGACGGCTCATGTGGATAACAGTTAATAAGGTGAGCATACAGAATTGCGTTAAAAAATGAAAGTGTGTATTCTACGAGTGATAATTAGAAGAAATATTTTTTTTTAGAACCGTTTAAAAAGGCTTTCATTTTATTATCCCTTACAGTGAAAATACATTGGGGTGGGAAATACGAGAAAGTTGTTATTTCTTATTAACGAGTTGGTAAGAAAAAAAAAAAGAAAAAGAAAAAAGAATTCAATTTCTAAAGATAGATAAAATTCTTCCCTCACAAATTTCTGTAACGTCTCTGTTACGAAATAGCATCCCTTTTAGTCCTTCTACTTTGAGATTTCGTTAAAAATACTACGAAAATAACGTAGCACGTATTTCTTAATCATCCGACGAATGGTTTCGATCGTTTCGATAAAAGGACGATTTTATGAGTTAGATAACGTCAAAGTATCCCTTGAGTCACCCCCTGGTAAATGAAGGTGATTGAAGAGAGACGGAAGAAGAAGGTTGGGATAAAAAAGGAAGGAAAAGGGAAATGGAGTTTGTTTGGAAAGACTGGTAGAGGTGTCCCAAAGGGATCGTAGAGGGAGAAGCACGTTGGCGATTAGTAGTTGGGATCTGTTCCTAAGACTTGCTAATTTCCTGCTACTCGAGGAACTGGTGAGGTCATGTGGAAAAGGAAGAGGCCATCTATTAGTGAGAAACGAGCTGTAGGAGGACATTACGCGTATACCACCTTACCCTCCTTTAAATCTTTCTCCCCCAAAGATGGATATTATTCTTCCTTTCCCGCGGAAGTGTACACAACCATACGGGGCAAAATAACGCAACAGGCAATGACGAATGCGAAACGGAAAAGGAAAACCGAGAGAAAGAGAGAGAGAGAAAGAAAAAGGAAGAGGAAGAAGCGATGTGTATATATATATATATATAATGTGGTGAGAACTGGAAATGCTCCAAGCGTATCTCCGGACGTGATCCTGACGATTTTCTAGGACGATAGACGTGATAGTGGTTCTCTTCTCGAGAACCTTTGAATTTTCTCTGAGTTTCTTTACAACCCAGGGCCCTCAGGTCGCACGGGCTAAACGGATTACTTCGTTTGACGTTGCGAGTGATCTTTTTTATTCAACTCGGACGATTCCTTGGGATAATCCAGAGAAACTCTCTGGATTAGTATCACTATCCCATACTCTTAGTTACCCTAGAATTTCCAAGTATCCATTTCGAACATAGTCTTAAGTACTTCAAATGAGATGGTAACAACGGATACTATGTTACAATAACGAATGCATTAACATTATCTAGCGTAGAAATATTTTACTTAAACAAATCTATGCAATAGGTATCTATGACACGAGAGTAGCTTTTAAACTGAGTTATAAACCATAAAGTAATTTTTGTTGATTAATCGTAGAGGTCCAACCGCAAATACGGTCCATGTCATATATTCGTGATTTTGGATGGGATACGCGAGCGACGGGGGAAAGTAGGTCCTGAATATTGATGAAAATATCATGAATATATTCATAAGTCTAACAGTTTATTTCCGTGGTAGGAAAGAACAATCCTATCTTTCTGTATGTTTCTTTACCCCCTTCTTCTCCTCTTTTTTCCCTCCTTTTTCTCCCTTTCCTTTCCTTTCCTTTCCTTTCCTTTCCTTTTTCGTTATCATTCCATCTCTTTTACTTTTCCATTTGTAAGATTAATTTAAGCGAGTTAATCATCGCGATGAGCTTCCATTCATTATCGAATGTAGGAAGAAGAGATGAAGAGGAAGAGCAAAAAAGGGGAATAAAAGATCGTGATCCATCGTTTAGTCGCAAATTGATCCAAGATGGAAAGTCAATGCGATACTCATCTCGATTACGAGCGAATATTCTTCGAGAGATTCTTCACTCTCAGTTCCGTATAATATCTTCATTATGAAAGAAAGACGACGTACGAGTTTTACGACGATGTCTCTTGGACTCGCAATACCCCTGTCCCCTGTCCCCTGCATTCACCCCTTTCTCCTCCCTCCACCCTACTCCTACCATCTCTTCCATCAGAAACTTACCTGCCTGCCTGAGGACTATCCCGTCGAAAGACTGCCGTCGTAAATTATCGTCTAGTTATTATTAATCCCTGCGACGACGAGGAACGTCCTCGCGAACGATCCTTTATAGCTTCACAACGATCTTTTATCTTTTTCCCTTTTCTTTTTTTCTTTTTTTCTTTTTTTTTTCTCCTCTCACTCTTCTCTATCTTTATCTTTTATCCTTCCCTCTCTCTTTCTTACGTACTTTAAACTCACAGAGAACGAAGAAAGGGATTAACGGTCAAGAGAAAGAGAGAGAGAGAGAGAGAGAGAGATAGAGAAAGAGAGAAAGTAAGCGGAAGTACCGAATTATTTCATAAGTGCCGTGAATTTTTTTCTTCCCCTTTTTCATACGAATCATATAACGATATAATGAAGAGTAAGAGATAAAAGAAGATAATCGTTAAGTGAAAAAATATTCTAATGCACAAATCGTATATTTTAGTTATTTAGTAAATTTATTCAACCGATTAATCGGTCTCTTAGAAACGTTAAATATTTCTTTTTTAATTATCTATTATTAATTGTTACATTGAATATTAGATTGTGTACGTAACCATTTAATTTGTTGAATTTTTGATTATTATCGTTCTGCGTTCAAAAGATTCCTTTGTATCATCTGTCTATTTACCTGACTCCTCTTTCTCTCCCACCCTCTCTCTCTCTCTCGTTTACTCTGTTTTCATTTTCTTCCCCTAACTAGTGCATTAAATTCCAACAATATCCTCCATACGAATAATAAATAGGTATCATCATTCCCGCGTAGGCGTAGGAGGATGTCATCGAAGTAATCGAAATATTAATTATTCGTTTGCATAATTAACGCGGACGCAATAAAGCGAGCTCTACTCCCATATGCCATCGAAGATTAACGGGAGCGCGACCGAGCACGGGATCGTTGATGTTCATTTTGAATATTAACTTCTCGGAAATGAACGTATGCCTGGTAGTCGAATGGATACGATGAAGTTTAACGCGACCGACATCCAACCGCGTGCGTTTTCACAAAAGGGAACTAACACGCATTTCTCATGCGAGCCTTCTTCTATCCCCTTTTCAGTCATTCATTTCCGACAATTTGTTTTATCATTTTATAACGTGAAATTTGTCTAATGGTTTTTAAAGGATCCACCTTAGAATGAATTAAACGTCGATTATTATTTTAATCGTATCTATTTGTTATTTATATTCGTTGCCCTAGGATAAATAATTATATCAACGTTTATGTATATAAAAAAAAGAAACATTTCGATCAAACGTAAGATAAAAGAAATATGCCGATATATTTTATCAACGTTATTACCACGGTCAATCTTAATGCCAGAAAATTTCCTTGACATCGAATTTTGGACTCCCCTTCGAGTGTCGTTTATCCGTGCTCTTTCCAAACATGAAAACGAAACAGCGGGTGGCACCGAGTACCGGCACGATGACAACTCGACGTCAACGAATGAGAGAGAGAAAGAGAAAGAGAGAATACATCCTTCCTATGCTATACTGTTAAAGAATTCAAAGTCAGTGGGAATCTCGCTGCACCTGATCACCGGACATCCATTTCCAACCCTCGACCATCCCTTTCATTCAAAAGGTGTAGAAACTCTGTGGGAGGCTTTACCGCTTTTCTACCCTGTACCAGACATGCTAGAGTACGCATGACCGAAAAGTAATGGCTTTCTAATTGCTCAGCATGGACGAGACGATCTGGTCAGGTATATGTTTAGTATTAGTTACTATGAGAATATAAACAGGTATTGAGAAAATAATAGTGATACCCACTTAAAGGCAAAACTATTATGTTGTTTGGTATTTGCGGTATTATATTTATAGAAGAAGATTTTCAAAAGCAAAGCTATTATTGATTTAGGTCCTTCGAGACAGGTAACCGAGTAATATTGTGGATAATACAAAATCTATTATGTTATGTTGCTAGCTGAATGAGAAAGATCAATGCTTGGAGAGATAGATGAAGAAAGATATATTAATGACATGATATATAAGTTTTATATTTTATATTTTTTTTTTCATAATATTAAATTCTTTTAATTGACTTAATACAATAACTAATATATATCACATAGTAATATATCAAAAGATTCAAATAACTTAAATAATTTGAAACAGGTGTGCGTTGGATATGCTTGAGTTAATCTATATTCTGGCTTAGTAATAAGCACCTTCACTTTCGAACTCGTAACAGGCTTAACAGCTGACGAGGAGTTTCGTTTATGTTACCACCAAATGGACGAATCGTCGATATATGATGAGCATAAATAGAAGAAAAAAAAGAAAAAATGGATGATCAAAGTAATGAAAAATGAAAGCAATCTCTTATTTCGTATTATAAGGTGAAAAAATATTAGATCGAGATAACTTGTTAGAATCTCATAATAACGTAGGAAAAAATGATGAAGTCGAGTTAACCACGGTATAATAGGGGAAATGGTTAACGAGGGGTTCGTTAGCGTCGAGGAAAAGGTCATTGGTATGAGAGTAAAAATCCCGTTCTCTCGTAAAAAATAGAAACCGCCATTTTCATCCTATACGTGATCGTATTTGAAAGTGTTAGGAGTGCGTAAGTTTAAATGTATGTGGAAGTTTGCTGCATCGTTCTAATGCCACCGACTTGGAAAATTACCACGTCAAAGAGTAGATCTTACGCTTAGGATCCTTTCCCTTTAATAACAAACGATGCTATAATGACGACGACGACGACGACGACGTTACAAGATCGCTTATTATCTTTTTCACACTTATTCTCTCACTCTCACTTATGCACAACGTGTTTAATACCATCCCGTATATATGTATTACATAGATGTATTCTTTTATTCTTTTTTTTACCACGATTCACGGTTAAAATCCCTGGGCAATAATGATCAAGCTTCTGAACCCTTCCTTTCCCTCGCCCCGTTTTTTTCTCCCACTACTATTCAACATCACCATCATGAAATTCGGAT